TTTTTTTTTGAATTGCCAATTGGAGGAATATAATATGATTGTTTGGACAGACGGATATTATACGCTTAATGTCTGGTTGCGAGGGAAATAGTTAGTTTTGTTTTYCYGASAGTCTTGATGTTTCACGAGGCGAAGGCGAGGTCGGGTCGGGAAACATTTAATTTAACCAGTGTCACGWGGTCATCTTTCAACCAATGAGAGTGTTYGTTATATCGGAAAATTTCGTAGCTATATTAACAAGATACTTTAATCGTTATGATTGTTTGTAGGATGGAAAATGTCAGACAACCAGGGTCCAATCTTTTGGAGATCAGCTTACATTGACCTGGAGCAATACAATAAAGTATATGGYATCCGCTTCCTTCATATACTACCAGAACGACCAAGCTCATGCAACAGATGTCCAGATTGTGCTGAGTGTAAGGTGTGTCCAGGAGGAACTTGCAATCTTGCTAATGTTGCTATTGATGATATTCAACTCTGGTGTGAAGCTTCATTCAATGTGACAGATACAACATTGTGCCAATCAAAGAGTGCACCACGGATTGGATGTGACCAAACTGCAATTATTAAATCACCACTGTTAAGAGGTAATTAAGTCCTAAAATAATTTGTCAAATAAGCTTAGAATAAAATGATGATGATGATGATAATGATGATGATAAAAACAACAACTGCAATAACAAATAGTTATTACTCAGCCATTTTTAGCCAGCCCCTTATTAGCTTGGCTGGTAAAAAAAATATATTCCAGCCTCAAATAAAGAACTTTATTCTCAGGGAAAGGATACATGGTCTGAAAATTGAAAATATGCCTACTCAGGGTCTCTTGCAATTCATTCCCTTAGGGGAAGGGGATAAAGAAGTGATTATTGTAATTAACCACCTTTATGATGGGGCTATGGAACACCATCAAACCCCCSTTTTTCCCATTAAGCTGCAATCTCCCATTCTGGCATGGAATAGATCTTTATTTTTCATAACTACACTGTCCTTATACTTTACCATACATGTACCCTCAGGATCCCTCACTCAGTTAGGGTGGTATATTTACCATGCAGCTTTATGTCCCTTTTGTTGTCCTTTCATACCAACTGAAAATTGCAACTAGGACACTACAACTTCAGTTCACACTGATGACTAATATAAGTTTGATAAGAAAAAATGCATTTTTGAATTTGGTTAAAGACACATATTAACTGCATTTTTTCTAGGGCCTGCATACAGTGAAGAGAATGTAACAYATTCTTTACAAAGGGGAACAGCAACATTTGTCAAGGCAGATGGTGAAACAAATGATCTTATTGGCATATACTTTGTGCATGTGTACTACCCAGCACAGTATTGCTTRTGGATGAGTGTATATAACACCGATGAATCTCACAATGCAGTGTCCTTTAGGATAGATAATGGTGACTGGCATAAGTTCCATACAGCAAAGAAAATAGTTCATCATCTCTGGATCAACTATCGATACAAGGTAACAACTAATTTCAGATTGTGATTATGATGATGACAAAAATAGTGGTAAAACTTATAATGATACACTGATCCTGGCTATGCTTGAGTGTCCATACCCAAAAAATGGGTGGTTTTTCCCAATGGAATACCTTTGGAATACAGTATATATTACAGATAATATTGATGGAGTCATGATTATGGTGATAAGGATGATGACAATTTATAGTGATGGAGTCCTGATGATAGTGATGAGGATTATGATAATAATAGTGATGGATTCATGATRATGTACTGTTTAATAAACGAGTAGGAGTGTTTTATCAGGTATAAAAGCACGAGGCGTAGCCGAGTGCTTTTATACCTGATAAAACAYGACCTACGAGTTTTTTGAACTGCTTAAAACACTCATGAACAATTTATAAGATTTTGGTTCAACTGGAGCCACCATACACGTCACGAACATGGATTTTTATACTTCGATAGAGATTTGACGTCACAGGCATGCGCAACCAGATTCAATAGAAGCTCCCACACGTTGGATATTGCGTGCCAAGGCAAAGACAGGCACGTTAGTCAAAGATCATTAGGGTTGACTATGACCTTGATGAAGCTCTATGTCTTCATCTTATAAAATTGGATGCATACTTCATCCCTGATGAAGTCATCCTCATAGTATTCGAGTGGTCTTTATATAAAGATCACATGTGTCTTTATATAAAATCACTTGAATACTAATGAAGAGGACTTTATCGGGTATAAAGGTTCATGCACGTAACGTGTATGGTTGCTCCAATTGCACCATAAGCTTATGAATTATATGAGTGTTTTAAGGTGATGAAGATGATGATAATTATAGTGATGGATTAATGATGATGGTGATGAAGATGATGATAAT